AAGAGTTCCCACACTTTTTCTGTATGTGTCTGTTGGAAAGAGCCCAGCTTTAGGCCTTCACAAAATTGGCTGCTACTGTGTTCTCACACTCTTTTTGAAAACACACACACACAAAACCTACGCTTTCCAACTGCTTTCCATCAAAATGAAGTAATTCCAGAGCAAATTGAAATCCTGTTGGTTAGTCCCAATTAGAGCGGACCAATATAGTCAACTGTTGAATGGTGAACCAGAACATAGGCAAAACCAGTTGATTCAATGACTCTGCTTTTGTCAGAAATAGCAATAGAATTTAGACTTGGCCTGGGCAAACTTTGGCCATCCAGGTGTTTTGGACTTCAGATACCACAATTTCTACCAGCCTGTCAGGAATCGTGGGAGTTGAAGTCCAAAATACCTGCCCAGGCCTGATTTAGACCATAGTCTTCTGGTCTGTGATGATAGTACCATGCAATTGTTGTATTCCGACGCAACCTTTTTATTTGCAGAGTTCAATATGGGTTACTATGACTCCTTTTTACTAGCTGTAAGCCCTCCACATTCACTGGGGGCAAGGAGCAGGATCCCCTGAGAAAGTGTGGAAACTGTGAATAAAGAACTACTCCCCCCCCCCATTAAGAATACCTCACTAGGTCCTCCAAAGCAACCGTATGGTCAACTTCTGCCAGAGGTTTACCAGAGAGTCATACTAGAGGACCTAGACATTCTTAGAGAGAACCTGTTACAGTAATCACATATGTGAATAATCATACCCGTGAAAGTCAAACCTGTAAATGTGGAGGGTGACTGTGCTAACAACTTTCAGGCAGACTGAAAGATAATTTTCCATTGTAATTTTCCATTTTTCTCTCTCTCCTTATTTATTTGTTTTTAGAAATAAACTTCTTTCTGATTAAAGGCCATATTGTCAACTCCATAAAATCCTATTTCCAATTGTCCATTATATTTTTTCCACTGTGCAAAATGTCTCTTAACTGCACATACCTGGTTTCTTAGCCTGTTTCCTTAGTCTCTCTGTCACTGGTATGGAGAGAGATAATCTGATCCATGGTATGACATACAGAGTGAATAGAGGATTATTTCCTTTTCTTCTTCATTCCCTTCTTCTCCTTCTCCCCTTTCCGGTTTTGTGTTAGAGCACCATCTTGCTTTAGAAATTCTGGTATTTGGTTGACGGAGGCTACGCATGCTCTGGCAAAGTGTCCTCCATAGGTTTGTTCCTAGTCACATCTGATTATGAATTGCAGATCAGTGCTGATACTTGCACATCTTATAGATGTGCAGCATATATGTTTTTCTGTACTGCTTTCTCCTCTGATTTTGTGTTTGTGCATGGCTTCCCACCTTCTTCCATTATTTCCTGTTCTTCTTATGCTCCTCCAAGTTGACTCTGAATTATGGCTACCCCATCCTCATTTTTTCTCGGCAAGATTAAATCAGAAGACATTTGCCTTTACTTTCCTCTGAGGTTGAGACACCTTGATTTGCTCGTAGTCACTCAGTGGGTTGACATGAGTGATGAAGGTTCTCTCCCTGGTCTCCCAAAATCCTGGTTTGACACTTAAACCAATACACCATTCTGGCACTGGGTTTCCTACTACTAAGAAACTGTACACAGAATACCAGTTATTTTGGAAAATGAACACTCCTGCCATGACTCTCCCCAGTGCTACTTATTCCTCCCATGTGACTTGTAGTTTCTGGTATAAAAAAGAAATCTAGGTAGACCCCAAGTACTAACCCAGGATGACCAAACATACATGGAACTGTCATATAACTGTGGGTTATTCCCCACATCGTTATATCAGTCATACTATGAAGTGGATGTGTGTGTGGTTATGGGGAAAACAGCACCCTAGACATCCTAGTGTGCTGGAGTACCCTATGGGTACAAACAAAAAACAGACTGATGGCATGGAAGAGACAGAACTGCTTGTCCATTTCTTCATTTCTCATTCTCATTCCCATTATACCTTCTTTCTATGCACAAGTCTGTTGGAGGGTGGATGGAAGTTGGTTATAACTGGGACCAAGGATGCATAAAACAGTGAAAAAGCACTCTCTGTATGTGGTGAAAAATACCGCCTCTCAATCAATGTAGATAGGCGATTATATGATCAGGAAGTCATCTCAATTTTGTTTGGATGTTAAAAGAACTATGCAGCAGCATGAAATATGATGGAGATAAAAAAACTAATTTTGTACATATGTGGAACACAGGGTGAAAAATAACAGTTGCCTGGAATTCAGTGAGTGTCATTAATCAACAAAACTCAAAAGACAAGTCTGGGAAGGAATAACTAATTAGCTTATAACTAGTTAAATTTCCAAGTTCTATGTTTTGGTAAAGAGATTTGCTTCCTGAGACTTTTTAGCTGTATACCTCTCTCTCAGTTCAGATGAACACACTAGAAAATGCTATTCCTAGAAAGCCTGGAAAGAAGGTATTTTAATCATGATAAAGAAGATTTATTTACTATAATTGCCTGAGGACTGAGAAGGGCGTTATACACATATAGCAAATAAATAAATAAATAAATAAATAAATAAAGTTCTAATTATACCCTTGGTGTAGTATCCCTCTCCATTCTCCCCCCCCTCTATTTCAAACCCCCATCCCCACAGTCTTCTGGACCCCGTTCCTTTAGTTTGCAGCTTGTTTTACCTTTTCTGTTTGGTGTTGTAGTGGTGTTGGGCTTGGGGGAAGAACAGGAAGGTTTGGGTTGGGTCTGGGTATGAGTATATGTCTTTGTATAACTAAATTGTTTCCTTTTTATTTTAATCTATGTATGTTTAAAACCTAATAAATATATATATATTAAAAGAAAATGTTATTTCTAGGCACTGCCAAGCAAGAAGTGAATTTTTAGAAATCACATTAAAGTGTAAACAATGCACTTTCACTGCTACAATGGGCACACATTTTGTGTTCCTACAGCACTGGAATAAAGGTAGATATGGATATTTTTTCCTGGTATAGACAACCCTTAAGAATTAGGCATTCAGCCATGTGGAGGGGACAGATTTGGGAAACAACCTCCTGTATGAATGCTATCCATGTCTGTCTGTCTGTCTGTCTGTCTATCTATCTATCTATCTATCTATCTATCTATCTATCTATCTATCTATCTATCTATCTCTATCTATCTATCTATCTATCTATCTATCTATCTATCATCTATCTATCTATCTATCTATCTATCTATCTATCTATCTATCTATCTATCTATCTATCTATCTATCTATCACACATTTTTAAATATAAGTGAAAAGCATAGAAGCTAAAAAGCTCATTCTATCCCAGAAGTTTATATCTCTGAAGTTAAATCATAGCTAAAGATACTAGGAAATATAAAAATAACCTGGAAACTCTTCTTGTTTAAATTACATCTAACTGGAGTTTCCAATTGTCCAGGTGGAGGAAATGCACATAGTAAAAGACACAGCTGGAAATTTCAACAGCAGCTCTTAATCCCAGGAGAGGAAGATGCTTGGGAATAGTTGGGGGAAATTTGTCGAGGAGGAGTAAGCAAGAAGGACATTTGGCAGGAGTTTACAAACAGAAGAAAACCAGAACGGTGGGAAAGAAACACTAGCTTCATTTTACAAATGAAGTGTTTGTTGCAAGACAATAATGCTGAGTTATATGTTACAGAAGGTTTCTTTAAGGGAGAAGATACATTTCAAGCAAATAAGAAAGGGCCTTGTGAAATATAGATGTTGCCTCTTATAGACTTCAGTTCAGTGAAACACTGCTCCATTGCTGAGATATAGTTTCTGTCTTGGGACAGAAATGGATTTCCTGTATTGTCCCATGTCCAAAAAATAGAAGAGTATGCTTCCTTTAGCTGCTCTCTTAGATATACCTCCCACATACTTTGGCTAGAGCAAAGATGCTATCTCTACTTAAAACTATACAGGGACCAAGGACCCTAGGTAGGAATCCCATATAGGAAATAAATTGGACATTTTCAGGATCTTTACTCACTAATGACCTTGAAACTCCATGAATTTGTCTGATGGTGTTTTGAATTCTCCATGTTGATAATCAGAGCCCCCAGTGGCGCAGTGGGTTAAACCACTGAGCTACTGAACTTGCTAACCAAAAGGTTGTTGTTTTGAATCTGGAGAGCAGGGTGAGCTCCTATTAGGCCCAGCTTCTGTCAACCAAGCAATTTGAAAACATGCAAATGTGAGTAGATCAATAGGTACCTCCTTGGTGGGAAGGTAACGGCACTCCATACAGTCATGCTGGCCACATGACCTTGGTGGCGTCTAAGGACAACACCGGCTTAGAAATGGAGATGAACACCCCCCCCCCCACCCCAGAGTCGGACATGACTAGACTTAATGTCAGGGGAAACCTTTACCTGTGTTGATAATAATTGCTATACCTTGAATTCCACAAAGCTCCCTGTGTATGCTGAGAAAAGGTTTCTTCTTTTGTCTGTCCTAACTTGTCAATTTTTGAGTTTCAGTGAATGGCTCTAGATTTTAGTATTATAAGAGAAAACCTTCCTGTCACTTTTCCTGGACATTTTCTTCCATCCACACCTATTTTTATATACCTCTGTTCTGCCCCCTTTACTCATATTTTGTCTTAACCAGAGGTTCTCAAACTTTGGTTATGCAGATGCTGGGATTTCAACTCCCAAACAACTTCACTATTGCCCATGCAGACTTTAAAGTTGACGTCTAAAACATCTGGAAGACCAAAGGTGGAGAGCCACTGGTGCAAACTCAATTGTCCCACACATCATATTTTTCCATCATTACGGAGCTGTTCCAGCCCTTTGATCCTTTTGTTTGTCTTCAGTACAGCAGGTATCTATTGAGGATAGACTCATGCTCTGTGGATTTGTTTAAGCCAAATGTGTACTTGGGGAGGATTGAGATTTTATTCTTTTGGATCATCACTAAAAAATAATTATGTTTATCCATTCTGCCTCGAAGCAAAGCATCAAAATAATGAGACTTGAAGAAATGACACATCCCTGAAGAAATGTCAGTATTTTGTTTATTTAGGATTGTTATTAGCAAATTGGCCTGCAGGAATTCATAACTCTGCTATGCAGTGCTATTTTGGGAATAGATCGTTCATAGTTATAGTGCCCCATATCCATGTTTGTTCTGGAGCAAGGTACATCATTAGAAATGAATAATGGCAAAAACAAACAAACATGATTAGTGCACCCATTAATGAAAAAGTTAAATCCTTTGGCAGGACAAAAAGTGGGAAAAGATGACAGACAGCAGATTGATACCTAATCAACATACCATGGAATTCTTCACTTGGTGTACTCAGATAAGAGCAGCATATGTATATTAGCCTAGAGAAGACAATTATGCTGGGGAAAGTGGAAGGCAAAAGGAAGAGGGGCCGACCAAGGGCAAGATGGATGGATGGCATCCTTGAGGTGACTGGACTGACCTTGAAGGAGCTGGGGGTGGTGACGGCCGACAGGGAGCTCTGGCGTGGGCTGGTCCATGAGGTCACGAAGAGTCGGAGACGACTGAACGAATGAACAACAACACATGTATATTAACATGAATCTTGCTGCTGGTTAAGTTCATCTGAAAGTAAATACAAACTGGGAAGCTAGGAATGAAAATACCAAGATTGTGGCCTCTTTCAAGCTAATAAAGAAGGGTAGATTCTTGCAATATAATGGCTTTAGTTTTGATAGGATTTGTTATTTCTTTGTCACGGTCTGCATTCACTCATGGAATTCTTTGTGGGTGGGTGAGGGACACTGTTTGCAGCCATTTCTTGGATCTGCAGTAGGGCTTTCCCAGGTTTTTTTTAAAACCAATACAGGTCTTGAAGTGATCCTGTTTGGAAAGCAAAATGTTATCCTTTCTATTTTTCAGGTTTTTTTTTCCTTAGAGTTAAATTGTTTAATGCAAAGATGACATTTTACTTCCAGCAACAGCAAGAATATATCTATAGGCAGCAAAATCAGGCAGTTCCAACTGGATGGCCCCCTATGAGGGTCTTCCCCCAGGGGCAAACCAAGAATGGGTGATTTGGATTTCCTTGAACAATGGAGTGGGCAGATCAAAAGACAACCTGGCAAAATGGTACTACCTAGAAGAATCCTCCACCTTGTGTGACTGTGGAGCAGAACAAACAATTCATTATCTGTATGCTTGCCCACAGTGCCCTGCCTCATGCACAGAGGAAGAACTGTTTAAAGCTACTGACAATGCAGTCGCTGTTGCCTGTTTTTGGTCTAAAACTATTTAGCTGCTTGTGATCCCTTTATTTTATCAGTTTTAAACTTATTTATTATGCAGTGCTTTTGACACAAAATAAAACATGTACCATAACTCCAAAATAATTGAAAAAAAGAAAGGGGGAGAAGAGAAAATGCACCTTTCTTTGTTCTTTAAAGGTTTCCTAATTAAAAAGAACCCTCCCATGGGTAAGAATGAAATGTTGCTGCTGATGCTGGGAATTGCCAGAAAATAGGTCAATAACACAACAGAAATTTGGATATATTATACACCTCGAAGAACTACAGCAACAAACATCACAACCTCTTTGTGCTTCTTTACAATTAGAAATGTGGCAGACTAAACATGAGGGTGATCAAGGAGTTTGTGATGCATGATATTTATGAAGTACAGTATGATACATACCCACATACACATATATACACACACAAATACATAATATACATACAAAGGGGGAGACAGAAAGGCTGCTTGCAATTCAAAATCTGCAATTAAATATACACAACAGATATGAATTCCCAATAGATATAAATTGAACATTTTAAAAAGCCAATTAATATCCAAGGTAGCATTTTGTGGTAAGGAAATGCTCAAGGAATAAGTTAAATCATCTACCTATGGAGGAATGTAATTCAATGATTGTTTTCCAATTGATAAACCAGTGTAGCATTCCCAAACTACTATAGCACTGTGTAGATCTTATATTTGTGGATACACATGTGGAGAAGAGCACGATTATGCTCATTAGGCAGACCTGATTTTCACATACAACTGAACAAAATATGCAGCCCTGTAATGATTTGGCAAAAGTGCAATAAATAGAGCTGGTTCTACCATTAGGCAGAATGACCATTTCAGGTGATGGATACTGGGAGACAGCAGGCTCATCCCTCTAGTTGTTCCTTTTAGGCTTGCCAGCCATTCCCCTGTTGGCTGTGTATGCCACACAACCTGTATTGTCCCCACCAGCTGGTCTGCTACATGAGATGCAATGGAGGATGTGATCCTATTACTAGTGTTGTAGTCAGTTGCCAGTCTAGTTGGCTTCCATGGAACAGAGAGAAAATGGTATCCTGTCCTTTACCTCCAACAGCAAAATGTCCCCAATTATTGATCTATGTGCTGCAAAACAAACAGTGAATTGCTTTCTTGACAACACCAACTGTCATCCTGTTTCAGAGATCTGATGGCATAAGTTGCAAGTTATGCCATTGCAGTCATTGTGGAGGTTGAAATGCTCTATCAATTGCACAACAAGCAACTGCTCCAAATGGTAAATGATGTCTTGTGATTTCTAGACTTCCCAGTGTGTGCTTACATTCAAATAAGCTTCAATACCAATGCAGTTGTGACAGGTTAAAGCCAGGATAGAATAATGGAATTTAAACTGTGTCCTATTCTCCTTGGAAGTAATGAAAAGTAATAGAATGGAATAATTCACTCTAGTTCCAACCCACAATCACTCTTGGTTTTTCTATATTAGTTTCCCACCTTTTTGTTAAGAAAATATTTAAGAACTTCAGTATTTCATGTAACTCACTGATGAGTAATGTATATATATTATACAGCTTCATTGTCTATAGTTAAAATATTTCAACATTTTAGAAAGTATAGTTATATAGATTTGCTTAATAAATAAATACATAATGCATATGCTGATATTGCCAAGAATCAGGCAAGGTTGCATAAATAAGAAAGGATGAATTTATCTTGGTCCTAAACACAGGGTTAATTTGTTTTAAACAACAGTACAGCATCAATACTGTTGATTATGCATCCACGTGATATATAAAAATGATTAAAAGTTGTTTTGAAAGTTTGATCAAACAATCTAAATATGTGTTTCAAAACAAAGGAAGCTTTATTATGTGCACGACTGTTCCAACTGCACACACAGACATGTGCCTATCAATGCCTATAACTGATTTGATTTATTGAATCATAGTACTAGAAGATACCACAAGGGCCATCCAGTCCAGCCCCCTGCCATGCAGAAATACATAGTAAAAGAAAACAGATTTAGAGGACATGTGTGAGAGAATACCAGTGTTTTATATTATTTTAGATGCATAACCTATGAAATACCTTTCTATTTTTCACCTTTTACACTTTTCCTCATGTTTTTATTCACATTCACCAGTGGGAGAGAGAATCCAAAGAGAGAGGGAGGAGGAAGCTACCAGCTGCTGGAGTCTGAAGGATAGGTTTTATTCCATGGAGAAACTTTCTAATCAGTTGATACTGGCAGTGGAAGAAAAAGTATTGCCTTTTGGCCACGATGAGTCCGTGGCCCCAGTTTGCCTTTCCCATTCTTCTTCAAGCCAACATACCACTTCTTATCACCATACATCTTTGAGGTATATGTATTGTAATGGTTTTCTTCCAGCGTTTCCACAAATAAACACTCTTCTGTTGGCAACTGCTGAAGAATTAAAAAAACAGTGTGGTACATTCATAGAAGGAAGCAAAGGAAACATTGCGGTATATTTGGTATCTGTCTTTGTCTGATGAAGAAGCCTTACCATTTGGAAACCACAAGAAACTCTGTGCATTTTTAGTAAGCCTAATAAAAGAGCCAGAATGGGTGTTTGAGTGTTGAACTAGGATTTTGGAAGAGCAGAGTTCAAACAGCCATTCAGCCATGGATACTGTGATTTTGTATATATCACACTCTCTTAGCCTCAGATGTGGACATACATCTTGCCCAGAAAACCCCACTATAATTTTGCCTTAAGTCACCATAAATCAGAAACTATTTTAAGGTACACAACAGCAATAGTGTATTTCACAATAAGGACTTTGTCTGGATCACTTTAATAATAATAACAACAAAACTTTATTTATATACTGCTCTAGCTCCCCTGGGGGGGACTCAGGGCGGTTTCCAAATTGTAAAAACACTTGTTAATGCTGATAGATTGCTTGTATTGTAACCCAACTGCTGCCTCTGAAACAGCCCTACCAGTACTGATCCAAATAGAAGGTCATGAGGAAAGGCAAGAGGCTGAGAGGAAGTGAGGGTTGCCTAAAGAGATGGTGGGATCTCCTCCTCTGGGGGTCTTCAAAAAGAAACTGGACAATGGCCTGTTGGAGGTACATGGACTGAGAAGAAGGTTGAATCCAATGGCCCTTAAAACCCCTTCCAGCTCTGTGATTCAATGAAGAAGGTAAAGCCTAGGAAAAAGGGTCTTCGGCCGGGGGAAATGTTAGAAGCTGCAGAGTTATTAAGCTTTTAGAATCTCAAGGAAAAAAACTGATAAAGCATTTTCAGTAGAAACTGTAGGTGTCTACTCAAAAAATTACCATCTGAAATATAATAGAAAGGTTCAATATGAAAAGTTTTCATTTGGCATTGCCATTTAACAATTGGTTAAAATAAGTCTAATATACTTTTTTGATTTGTTCTGTGTTGATGAAAACTGGGTTTTATAGACCAGGATTGGGACACATATGACTAAGCAATGTAGTAAATATATTAATGTGGAAGATTACTCAAGCAAGAAGATGCTGCGGCAATTTGCTTTAGCCAAAGCCCACTTGAAAAAGTAAGGTTCAACTCCCTCCTCTTATCTCTGCCCTCCTGAGCTAATTGATTATAAAATATTTTTGCACTTTGAATTCAGTTTTCAGCACTTGAAGTAATCTAAGGGCAAAGAGGCAACATGGAAGGAAGAGAGAAACCAGAATATTTTAAAAGCAGATGAAAAGGGGAGATGATAGAAGATAAATCAGGACTGTTGCAGCTGCATTGGGCAGTTGTTTCTGGGCAGATTTCCCCCTATTGCCACAAATGGCAAGGTTATATTTTTGCTTCAGTGCCAGTTTACTCAGCTAAAACACTAGACATCTGGACCATCATATAGTTAAATAAATTGCTGTCTTCAATTTAGTAATGCTTCCATTCTTGAACCTAAACAGGAAAGGGGCCATGTTTCTCCTATAGTGGGGGAGCTTGGATAATTGCATACTTCCACTAGGCATGATGGCCAAATTTCTAGCTTATTGCTTTCCAAACAAGGCTTATTCTGCTCAGTCTCTTCTTTGCCAAGGCTGCCAACTGCTCTTCTCATCCCTCCAGATTCCTGAATGAGCCAGCCTCCTACGTCTCTGTGGCTTGTTTACCTAGGGATACTTATGTTGCTAATGGCCTCACCCTCTGTGATTTGGCAGCAACTCCTTCCAAATACAAAATCCAATATCTGGAGTATTTTGGAACATTGTTTCTAATTGTTGTATTTATTTTTCCAGAAATAAACTTGGGCAAAGGGTGGCAATCCAGCTGCCAAAACAACAAACAGCATCTAATTGCTGCTTCTGGGCAATGTCGCCCAGGGTGACAAGAGTTTTGCAAACCTCAAATCCTCCCTCTGCCCAGTCCCACAGAAACCTCATACTTACCGAGCCATATAAACGTCCATTGGCATCCATGGCCAAGTACTGCCCAGTCTCAGTGCCTTTTATATATACCACACCCACATCTTCGGCTGTTAACTGCAACTGAACTGCAATGGAGTGGGAATAAAACAAACAAACAAACAGACAAATAATGCCACACACAGCAAGAAAGTGAAAAGTATAGTCAGAAAGCATAGTATGCTATCCTGTTACTACAGCAAAAGTGGCAACAATACTGGTACCAGGGCTACATTTTGGTTTGCAGAATGGCATGAGGATCACACTTTTTTTGGTCTTACGTTATTTTGTAAGATATGGCTAGCTATAACCCTTCCCATCCTCTCCATTAATTACAAACAAATCATTTCTTATAATCATTTTGATTATTTCTTTCTTCCACTGTATACATGTTCGATGCTCACCCTTTAAGAGGAAAAACTCCAATATATTCCTGCATGGGTTCTTTTTTGTAGCCATGAATAGCCAGTTGAAATTAAGGAGGGGAAACCTTCCTCCTACTTGCAGTCCTCATTTGCTCCCCACTTCTTCAGCCCCATTTCTCCCCAGTAAGATAGATGGAAGGTTGCAACTATCCTTTCTCACATACATGCTGATTCATGGAGGGAAGCGGCCAAGGAGTTACAAAAAAGGGAGCTGTAGTCAGACAGCTGACAATCCTGGAGTTCCTCCACCTCTGCTCCTTTTTCCTTCCTATGCCCCCTGCAGAATACCAGATCCTTGGTACAGGAAGGGGGCAATCTCATCTGCATTACCAAATGAATGCTGCCCTTTCTGCAGATCTGTTTTCTGGACTATTTCAAGGGGTGCTATGTTTATGTGAATGCCCAGAGTGCATATTAATGATATGTACAACTGTTTCTAAATACACTAAAGTCACCAGATGTCATTTGATCTTGGAAGTCAAGCAATGTCAGCTCTGGTTAGTGCTTGGATGAGAGACCACCAATGAATGCCATGTGCTGTGTGTCATATTTCAGAAGAAGGAAAACTACCTTTATGTGTTTTATGTGGAAGGATATATTAAGAATTTAATGGGGTCACCATGAATTGTCAGAAGACATGAAGGCAAAGACATACACACTGTATCCATGAATGAAAAAAAGTGTGTGCAGTGAATGGCATGCAGTCGAATCAGTTCTGGGAGCCTTTGACACTACATAATGATATTATTGTGTGATTCAGCTTTAACTGCCATGGTACCACCTTGTCAAATCCTGTGATTTGCAGTTTAGGTGGGCATTTAGAATTCTCAACCAGAGAGTTCCTCTAATGCAGGCATCCTCAAACTGCAGCCCTCCAGCTGTTTGGGCCTTCAACTTCCAGAATTCCTGACAATTGAACAAGCTCATTAGGGCTTCTGGGAGTTGGAGGCCCAAACAGCTTTAAGGCCGCAGTTTGAGGAAGCCTGCTCTAATGTCTCTGACCAACGGCTAACCCCAGGATCTCATTGGATGTTGCCATGATGATTAAAGTGGAATAATGTGATATGTAGTGTGACCGTTCTGTTTGTCACCACCTGTAGAGTGTGACAAGTTTCTTCAAAGATCAATAGGGATTTTTGTGCCTTTGAATCAAAATAAGGACTTCCAGCCTTGTCATATGGCCCAATATAAGGAAAGACATGTTCATATATAAATTATTTAATGTTATAGGTATTAAACATAGCATTTCTGTTTTAAAATTAGCTTTACAGATTTAAGAAAAATCAGTTTAAAACAGAATTATTGTTTTTCCACTGTACTCTAGACTAGAGCCATACAATCCCTCTGTCTCACAGAAACTTTTTGTGCTACTTCTCTTTGGATTTTATAGACTGTTACTCACTTTCGTTCCGTGGAATCGTAAAATTTATAACCAAGAGGATTATTCTAACATTTACTTAATACTTGTACCTGGAAACTATCTTTAATTAGCTATCCATATTTAATGATGAGTGCGAAGCCGTGACTCCCACCGCTTGTTACTAAAAATTTAAAACCGTTCACTTGCTGCCACCAAAAT